GTTTTGCATACTTATACATGTCAGTGGACACTGGTCTTGTTTAATGCTTCATGTCTGTCCCCCTTTTTTAAAGATTGGGACTACATTTGCTGTCTTCCATGCCTCAGGCCAATCTCCTTTTCGTTTAGATGTATTGAATATTGTTGTTAGGGGTACACTAGCGCCTCTGCTCCCTCTTCAAAACCCATGGGGAGATGTTATTGGCCCATTGCCTTTGAGGTATCTAGCTCACTCAGAAGCCTCTTCACTTCTTCTCGGTTGTGTGCACTGTGTCCACACTTGGTGGTGTGCCCCCCCCTCTCCGTCTTCTGGAGTCCCCTTTTGTCTCCTCTGTGAACACTTCTTTGAATCTCTTGTTGAGTTCTTTTACATATTCACGGTCATTTTTTGTTGTCTCTCCTCCCTTTCCCTTTTTTTTGCCCGATTACCTGGTTCCTTGATGTTGTTTTCCTCTGAATGTGGCTGTACAACAGTTTCGGGGTCAGATTTGGCTTTCGCTGCTATGTCATTTTTCATTTTTGTCTTTGGCCTCCCTTTTTTTATCTGTGCATATTCGTTTCTGGCTCTTACGGCTGTTCTCCTTATTCTCCTGGGTCCTTTGCCTTCTATATTTCTTCCCTTCCCTAGCACACTTGGTTTTTGCCTCCTGCACTTTGGGTAAACCATGGGCTCATCCTGGCCCTTTTTTATTATTCCTGTTACCCTTGGGTACAAACCTCTCCTCAGCCTCCTTGCATTTTGTTTTCTACATATTCCATCATCTCATTAACTGGCTTCCTGCCAGTTCTCTGTCCCACTTAACCCGTTCAGGTAGGGTTTCCCCATTCCTGTGTAGTCCCCTTTCTTTTAGTTTGGCTTCATTCGTCCTGCCCTTTCCCGCTTCTCTCCTCCACTTGTAGGGTCTACTGTGTATTCGAAGCTTAAAACCACATGGTCACTGGCCCCAAGGGGTCTTTCATATGTGATGTCCTCGATATCTGCACTACTAAAGGGGAATACTAAGTCCAGCCTTGCTGGTTCATCCCCTCCTCTCTCTCTTGTAGTGTCCCTTAGTGTTGGCACATGAAGTTTTCCCGTACCCCCATCATTTAGCCCCCCCATGTATTTGGCCCCCCTGTGGTCCAAGTTTCCCAATCGATTCCTTGTGGTTAAAGTTTACCCTGACAGGGCTTTTCCCGTGATGAGCCTTCTGGCCACTCTAGCCAGTGTGTCAACCCGCTCTATTGCTCCGTGTATCTTGCCTTGGGCCCCCTTTCTGTTTGTGGTGGGTTAACATCACCCCTATTACCCTTTGGGCCCTCCAGAGTGAAGTGTTCCCGTATTTAACCCATTTTTCTTTTTTCCGCTGTTCCCTCTCCCAGTTCATAAAAATTCCCAAAGGTTTTTTGGGATCAAAATGCCACTCCCCCCCCCCCCCTTGTTCCCTCGGGTTTTTCCTCGGGGTTTTGGTATCCCTTTTGGAAAGATGGAAATTTTTTATCATACCTGTAAGTTGGGTTTTTCGGGTTTTTGGGGAGCTATGAGGGTTGTGTTGTGTTGTAGGGTTTTTGTGTGTATTTTGTGGGTTATATGTGTGGTAGGGTTTTGTATGTGTGGTGAAAGGTTTTTGTGTGTGTGTGTGTGTATGTATGGTGGTATGTGTGTGGGGTATGGGGGTGTGTTGTGTGTGTGTGTATTTTGGGGTGTGTATGTATGTGTATGTGTATGTGTTTTGGGGTGTAGGGTATATGTTTTGTATGTGTGTGTGTGGTTGTGTTTTGGTGAAAGTGTGTGTTGTATGTGTGTGTATGTTTTGTATGTGTGTGTGTAGGTGTGTTGTGTATGTTTTGTATGGGGGGGGTTTTTGTGGGGAGTTATTTTTTAATCCCATCCCAGAAATTTTCGGGGTTTTAAAAAAAGCGAAAAATTTGCTACTGGGGGTTAAAAAGCTTCAAAAAATTTGTCTGCCCTTGTGTTTTGTGTGTGTGTGAGGGGGGGGAGGGTTTTAGGGGGGGGGGTTTAGACCCGTTATACCTCTTTGTTCTGTTTTTCCTAAAAATTGCTACACTCTTCGTTATTGCCCCTTTCTGGTTTTTTAAGTATAAAATTTATTCCCTGTTTTTAAATTTATCCTTGTTCACGTTTAGAGGGGCCCTTCCCTAGTTTAAGTTTTCGTACTACAAATTAACTACTGAATAGTTTGGCAGGGTGAGTGCCCAGTATCAAAACAGTGATGAAAGGGCCCAAACCAAGCCAACCCGGGAAAACATGAAAACCCCAAAATTTTATAGGTGTTTGGGCGGGGGGGGTTAACGGCGTGACAAGTTGCCAGATGCTGATGACGTAGTTTGTCGTACGTAGCTTTAAAAACCCTATTTTTGGGGGGGTCCTTCATCCGTGATTGATTATAAAAACATGTGATCATACCTCCCTCGTTCCCCACCAAAATTTCCCCTTTTCAATTATGTAGTATTTCACTTTTACATTATATACATTCACTTTATATTTATAATTTGGGACAAATTTTCGTGACTTTACTGCCCTTTAGGCCCCACCGCGGCCCAGTAGACCAAAAAGTTTGGAAAAATTTTTGGGTAATGGGTTTAAATTTTAGGCTTTCTACGACTTTTTCTAAAATAATTAAATTTAGTTATCACTCGTATTTTTGCCCCCACTGGGGCCCATTTTCACTACCACTGTTTTCTGTTTGCAGTTTATGGGACCCTTAAAAAACACTAGGATTCTCGGAGCCTTGGGGTGCCCACCCTCTGCACCCCCGGACCCACGCGGGGGCGTTTTGTGTGTGTGTGTGTTTTTACAAACACAGTGTTTGTGCCCAAAATGATTTGTTTTTTTGCAATAAAGAATTGTTTTTTCTGTGTGGCCGGGGAAAAAATCTTTTAAAAGTTCTGTTGTTGACCCCCAAAAAGCTATTTCTTGCTTCCTCAGTCAGTTTTCTTGATTTCTTGTTTGTTTGTCTGGTTGGTTGGTTGAAAAGTTGTTTGGTTGTCAGGTTGATTGGTTGGTTGAGTGACTGACTTTCATATAATCTATACACCACCATTCAAGGATACTGAATCTGCAAATATTGAGATTATAATGGGATATACACCACTCTAAGTATATATATACATTACCACTCTTAGAGTATACACATCAAAACAGCTTGGTTGGTTAATGGGGGTTTAAAGAATATCGACTGCACGAGAGTCATTAAGGTTGCATGTAACCTGCTCACCACCAGACATGAATACTTTAACCCCTAAAATATGGATTTAATAAATATATATATATATAAATATATATAATATATATATATATATATATATATAGATATATATATATATATATATATATTATATGATATAGAGAGAGGAGAGAGAGGAGAGAGAGAGAGAGAGAAAAGAGAGGGGAGAGAGAGAGAGAGAGAGAGAGAGAAATACACCCCTGAAGGTATATATCTCGTGATCAAGGCACAGACCGGACCACGGGGGCATTGACCCCCGAAACTCTGTCCAGGTATATTCCAGAAATATATACTTATATATTTCTCTGTTCTTCTTCGTTTGTTTCTCTCTCAAACTGGTATAGCATTTTCTTGATCATCTGAAATATTTTGTTTCATTTAACCCATTAATTCCTTCTCGGTGGGCAATTTTTAATTTATTTCTTAATGCGTGTCCTGTGTATAAAAATGTGAGTCAGTCTGTTAAGCAAAAATATTTCCAACCTCCCTATATAAAAGTTTAAAAATACTCACCTGAACATGACAGTCTTCTGAAAGAAATGTTGGAACATTGTTGTGGTGGAGGATAACGAGCGTACTGTGGTGTGTGTGTGTGTGTGTGTGTGTGTGCCATTGTGACCCCTATGTGTGCGGTGTGTCGGCTCGTCTGGCCTGCTCTTGTCATGTGGTGTGTTCTCGTTGTTGTTTGAGTTGTGTTACTGTGTCTGTAATATGTGTGTGTGATACCTATCTATCGGTACAGGAACAGAGCTATGCTAGCGGTGCATCGTCTTCAGTAATATTTGTTGTTGCTTCTTCTTGTGACTCGGGTCGTGGATCTATCACTCTAGTATGAGAAACATTTGTCCTTTCTTCGACTCTATTTTACTTTAATTTGGAACTCTGGCCACTTGTTGCCCCTGTTGTTTCTTGTTTTTCTTATTGTAGATACTAAAGAGTCTTCTTTATCTGTTCTTTCATATTCTTTTTGCAATCTCTGATGGTTGGATATCATATATTCCTTCCTTTCTATTCCTCACCTTGTTTTTTTCTGCTCTCATTACCTGTTTTCTTGCTCTCTTATCTTCTCTGAATATCTATATCATCTTCACCTGAATATTTCAGGCTTGATCTATCACGTGTTCTAAACAGCATTTTTAACACATATCCATTCATATATTCGAAGGCTTTAGCTCGCTAGCATAGCAAATGCATTTCCGATAACTTTCCTTTATATGATGTTAGGCTCGATAATTTATCTTTCGTTAATAATACTCGTAGATCCTCCCTCCTTTTCTCTCTCTCTCTCTCTCTCTTCTCTTCTCTCTCTCTTCTGCTTTTTCTTTCGTTTTAACTCTTCCTCCCTCTTCTCTCTCTCTCTCTCTCTCTCTCTCTCTCTCTCATGTTTTCTATATTTTGAAACTCAGTTTGCATTCTTCACATGGCCTGATTCCTATGCCTTCCATTTATATTATGTTATTTATCCATATGAGATTTCATCATCCATCTGTCACTCCATCTGTTCAACTTATCCAGATCTTCCTGTAGTATTTTACGGCCGTTATTACTGTAATTTTTTATCGGTTTTGCATCCGCATATTCAGTCCTGCAGGTGTTTCTCTCTTCCGGTACGTTCAACACGGACCGAAACGTGTATATGGTCCAGGAAGGACCGAAAATATCTTCTAAATTTTCCTCTCCAATTTGTGGGTCAAATGTGAATTGTTCCAGCTATGGTATTGTGACTTGTATACACCTTTAATATTTTTTTTTGACTAATTGTTGTGGGTTGCAGGTGCCTTCCTGATCCCGTACATGCTGACGGTGTTGTGCTGCGGGGTACCTACTTTCTTTCTGGAGGTGTCCATGGGGCAGTTCCTGGGCACTGGCGGCCTCACTGTCTGGCGAATTTCTCCCATTTTTAAAGGTAAGTTACTCCAAGTATAATGTTTCTCTCTCTCTCTCTCTCCTGTTCCACACTGTCCTCACATGCCTCTTTTTTATACACATTTCCTGTTGCCTCCCAGCAAATACTGAAGTCTCACTCCTCATTCCTCATCCAATTTGCTCTTTCTACCAGCCATCATGATATCAAATCATTCTGCCCACTTTCTTCCCGTCCCTGTTCTCCTCTTTTCTTCATTCCTGTTTTATTTACCATTTTCACTTGCTCTAACCTCCACACAGTCAAGCGATAATGTTTTCAAGTGTAATTTTAGTTTTTTCAGGTGATATAGACAGGTGATGGAAGGACTTTACTCACCAATTTGTGGTAGCAAGGGTCGAGTCATAGCTCCTGGCTCCTGTGTGTGTGTGTGTACTCACCTAGTTGTGGTTGCAGGGGTCGATTCACAGCTCCTGGCCCCGCTACTAGGTCACTCTTCCTGCTCCATGAGCTTTATCATACATCTTCTTAAAGCTATGTATCGATCCTGCCTCCACTACATCACTTCCTAGACTATTCCGCTTCCTGACAACTCTATGACTGAAAAAATACTTCCTAACATCCCTGTGATTCATCTGAGTCTTCAACTTCCATCTGTAACCCCTTGTTGCTGTGTCCCATCTCTGGAACATTCTGTCTCTGTTTACCTTGTCGATTCCTCTCAGTATTTTATATGTCGTTATCATAACCCCCTATATTTCCTGTCTTCCAGTGTCGTCAGGTTGATTTCCCTTAACCTCTCCTCGTAGGACATACACCTTAGCTCCGGGACTAGTCTTGTTGCAAATTGTTTCAGTTTCTCTAGCTTCCTTATATGCTTGGCTAGGTGTGGAGTTCCAAACTAGTGCTGTATACTCCAATATGGGCCTAACGTACACGGTGTACAGGGTCCTGAACGATTCCTTATTAAGATGTCGGAATGCTGTTCTGAGGTTTGCTAGGCGCCATATGCTGCAGCAGTTATTTGGTTGATGTGTGCCTCAGGAGATGTACCTGGTGTTATACTCACCCCAAGATCCTTTTCCTTGAGTGAGGTTTGTAGTCTCTGGTCCCCTAGACTGTACTCCGTCTGCGGTCTTCTTTGTCATTTCACAATCTTAATGGCTTTACATCTGGTGGAGTTGAACTCCAGGAGCCAGTTGCTGGACCAGGCCTGCAGCCTGTCCACAGCCCTTTGTAGCTCTGCCTGGTCCTCCTCCGATTGAATTCTTCTCATCAACTTCACATCACCTGCAAACAGGGACACTGTGGAGTCTTTTCCTTCCGTCATGTGGTTCACAAATACCAGAAACAGCACCAGTTCTATGACTGACCCCTGTGGAACCCCACTCGTTACAGGTGCCCACTCTGACATCTCACCACGCACCATGACTCGCTGTTGTCTTCCTGACAGGTATTCCCTTATCCATTGTAGTGCCTTCCCTGTTATCCCTGCCTGGTCCTCCAGTTTTTGCACTAATCTCTTGTGTGGAACTGTGTCACATGCCTTCTTAAAGTCCAAAAAATGCAGTCTACCCACCCCTCTCTCTCTTGTCTTATTGCTGTCACCATGTTATAGAACTCCAGTAGGTTTGTGACACAGGATTTCCCGTCCCTGAGCCCGTGTTGGCTGTCATTGATAAGCACGTTCCTTTCTAGGTGCTCCACCGCTCTTCTGATAATCTTCTCCATGACTTTGCATACTATACATGTTAGTGACAACGGTCTGTAGTTTAATGCTTCATGTCTATCTCCTTTTTTTAAAAAAATGGGACTACATTTGTTATCTTCCATACTTCAGGTAGTCTCCCTGTTTCGATAGATGTGTTGAAGATTGTTGTTAGTGGTACACATAGCACCTCTGCTCCCTCTCTCAGGACCCATGGAGAGATGTTATCGCACCCCATCTCCTTTGAGGTATCTAGCTCGCTTTGCAGCCTCTTCACTTCGTCCTCGATTGTATGTATTGTGTCCAACCCCGCCTTTCCGTCTTTCTGAAGGCCCTTCTGTCTCTGTGAACACTTCTTTGAATCTCATGTTGAGCTCCTCACATGCTTCGCTGTCGTTTCTTGTGATCTCCCTCCTTCCTTCCTCAGCCTAATTATCTGGTTCTTGACTGTTGTTTTCCTCCTGATGTGGCTGTACAACAGCTTCGGTCAGATTTGGCTTTCGCTGCTATGTCATTCTCACACTGTCGTTGGGCCTCCCTTCTTACCGTGCATATTCATTTCTGGCTCTACGACTGCTCTCCTTATTCTCCTGGGTCCTTCACCTTCTTTACTTCTATACTGTGTGTTTGTATCTGTTTGTTTATGCTATTAAACAAGTCACTTAAAGGCCTCTAAAAAGCGTTTGCTTGCGAGTTAATGCCTGGCAAGGTTCAGAAAGCTAAAAAAAAAAAAAAAAAAAAAAAAAAAACATTTTAAACGTGTCGTATGAAGCCGGGTTGCCCAGCCTCGTCCAGTAAATCCTGGTGGTAATTTCCCGTAGACTTAATAATGGTCCATTCATTCTCACCAACCAACACCAGTGTCATGTATCGTTACCTTATGCTGTCATGTATCGTTACCTTATACTGTCATGTATCGTTACCTCACACTGTCATGTATCGTTACCTTATACTGTCATGTATCGTTACCTCACACTGTCATGTATCGTTACCTCACACTGTCATGTATCGTTACCTTATGCTGTCATGTATCGTTACCTTATACTGTCATGTATCGTTACCTCACACTGTCATGTATCGTTACCTTATACTGTCATGTATCGTTACCTCACACTGTCATGTATCGTTACCTCATACTGTCATGTATCGTTACCTCATACTGTCATGTATCGTTACCTCACACTGTCATGTATCGTTATTTCACACTGTCATGTATCGTTACCTCACACTGTCATGTATCGTTACCTCACACTGTCATGTATCGTTACCTTATAATGTCATGTATCGTTACCTCACACTGTCATGTATCGTTACCTTATAATGTCATGTATCGTTACCTCACACTGTCATGTATCGCTACCTTATAATGTCATGTATCGTTACCTCACACTGTCATGTATCGTTACCTCACACTGTCATGTATCGTTACCTCACACTGTCATGTACCGCTACCTCACACTGTGAGGAAAACCTTATAATATCCCTCGCACGTACCCCTCGCAGACATTCCCTCTCAGGTATCCCTCGTAGGTAGTGCAAGAGAGGTGGAGGAGTGAGTGGGGTATATATATACATACATACCATATTATGTAATAAAATATTCCTATTAGTAAAAAAAAATAAATATGAAAAGATGGGGTGGTAGGGGAAGTGGAATATTCAAACGGCTTCAGGAAGAAATCCAAATATTTTTCCTTGAAGCCTTTTTATCCACTTCTCCGAGGCTATGGGTCCCACAATTTACACCAGAGGTGGACCCCTAATATATATATATATATATTTATATATATATATTATATATATATATATATATATATATATATATATATATAAATATATATATATATATATATATATTATATAGAGAGAGAGAGAGAGAGAGAGGAGAGAGAGAGAATTAGTTTCATAATTGGCAGTGATGGGTCTGCAGGTTTCAGAAGTGTTCTTGCACTGTACTAAAACAATTTATAGCAACGATGTGGGATGTCTAGGATTGTTGGAAGTGGTAGTGATGGTGGTGGTGGTGGTGGTGGGGTGGGTGGTGGTTGGTGGTGGTGGTGGTGGTGGTGGTTGGTTGTGGTGGTGGTGGTGGTGGTGGTGGTGGTTGTGGTGGTGGTGGTGGTGGTGGTGGTGGTGGTTGGTGGTGGTGTGTGGTGTGTGGTGGTGGTGGTGGTGGTGGTGGTGGTTGGTTGTGGTGTGTGGTGGTGGTGGTAGTGATGGTGGTGGTGGTGGTGGTAGTGATGGTGGTGGTGGTTGGTGGTGGTGGTTGGTTGTGGTGGTGGTGGTGGGTTGGTTGTGGTGGTGGTTGTGGCGGTGGTGGTGGTTGTGGTGGTGGGTGGTTGGTGGTGGTTGGTGGTGGTGGTGGTGGTGGTGGTGGGTGGTGGTGGTGGTGGTGGTGGTGGTGGTGGTTGGTTGTGGTGGTGGTGGTGGGTTGGTTGTGGTGGTGGTTGTGGCGGTGGTGGTGGTTGTGGTGGTGGTGGTGGTGGTGGTGGTGGTGGTTGGTAGTGGTGGTGGTTGTGGTGTGGTCGTGGTAGTGTGGTGGTGGTGTGGTGGGTGGTTGGTTGGTGGTGGGTGGTTGGTTGGTTGTGGTGGTGGTGGGGGTTTGGTGGTGGTTGTGGTGGTGGTGGGGGTGGTGTGGTGGTGGTTGTGGTGGTTGTGGGGTGGTTGGTGGTGGTGGTTGGGGGGTTTGGGGGTGGTGGGGTGGTTGTGGTGTGGTGGTGTGGGGTGGTTGGTGTGTGGTGGTGGTTGTGCGTGGTGGTGGTGGGTGGTGGTGGTGGTGGTGGTGTGGTGGTCGTGGGTTGGTGGTGGTGGTGGTAGTGGTGGTGGTGTGGTGGGGTGTGGTGGTGGTGGTGGTGGTGTGGTGGTGGTGGGTTTGGTGGTTGTGGTTGTGGTGTGGTGGTGGTGTGGTGGTGGTGGTTGGTGGTGGTGGTGGTGGGTGTGTGGTGGTTGGTGGTTGTGGTGGTGGTGGTGGTGGTGTGGTGGTGTGGTTTGTGGTGGTTGTGGTGGTGGTTGGTGGTGGTGGTGTGTGGTGGTGGTGTGTGGTGGTGGTGGTGGTTGTGGTGGTGTTGTGGGTGTGTTGGTGTGTTGTGGTGGTGGTGGTGGTTGGTTGTGGTGGTGGTGGTGGTGGTGGTGTGTGATGGTGGTGGTGGTGTGGTAGTAGTGGTGGTGGTGGTGGTGGTAGTGGTGGTGGTTGGTGGTGGTGGTGTGGTGATTGTGTTGGTAGTAGTAGTATGTGGTTAGTGGTGGTGGTTTGTGGTGGTGGTGTAGTGTGGGTGGTGGGGCGTGTGGTGGATGTTATGGTCTAGTGTGGTATTTAGGTAGTGTTAGATGGTAGTGGTGGTGTTGTGGTGGCAGTGGTGGTGGTAATGGTGGTGGTGGCTGTGGTGATTGTGTTGGTAGTAGTATTTTTTTAGTGGGGGTTTTTTTAATTTTAGTGGTGATGGAGGTTTTTAGTGGTGGTGGTGGTGATTGTGGTAGTGGTGGGGGTCGTTGTGGTGGATTTTTATGACAACTTCTAGTGTGGTTTTAACGACCAGTTCCAATATGATTTTAACGACCAGGTCTAGTGTGATTTCAACGACCAGTTCCAGTATTGTTTTAACGATCAATCTATGCTGGAATACTGCTGTACACTAACGCCCCCTTCAAGGGTGGCGACATTGCACACCTAAGTACGATAAGTCACCTAAACTACTGGAACGGTTGAAGGTCCTTGATCTGTATTCCCTCGAACGCAGGCGAGAGAGATACATGATAATATACACTTGGAAGGTCCTGGAGGGATTGGTACCAAACCTGCACACGAAAATCACTCCATATGAAAGCAAAAGACTCGGCAGGAGATGCAACATTTCCCGATGAAAAGCAGGGGCGCCACGAGTACACTGAGAGACAACACAATAAGTGTCCGGGGCCCAAGACTGTTCAATTGCCTCCCAGCATACAATAGGGGGATTACCAATAGACCCCTGGCTGTCTTCAAGAATGCATTGGACAGGTACCTAAAGTCAGTACCTGACCAACCGGGTTGTGGTTCGTACGTCAGCTTGCGTGCTGCCAGCAGTAACAGCCTGGTTGATCAGACCCTGATCCACCATGAGGCCTGGTCTCAGACCGGGCCGCGGGGGCGTTGACCCCCGAAACCCTCTCCAGGTAAACTCCAGGTAGTGTGGTTTTAACCACCAGGTCTAGTGTGGTTTTAACGACAGGTCTAGTGTGGTTTTAACCAGGTCTAGTTGGTTTTAACCACCCGGGCTAGTGTGGTTTTAACCAGCAGGTCTAGTGTGGTTTTAACGACAGGTCTAGTGTGGTTTTAACCACCAGGTCTAGTATGGTTTTAACCACCAGGTCTAGTGTGGTTTTAACGACAGGTCTAGTGTGGTTTTAACCACCAGGTCTAGTATGGTTTTAACCACCAGGTCTAGTTGGTTTTAACACAGGTCTAGTTGGTTTAAAGAAGTCTAGTGTGGTTTTTTAAACCCCCAGGTCTAGTTGGTTTTAACGAAGGTCTAGTTGGTTTTAACCACCAGGTCTAGTATGGTTTTAACCACCAGGTCTAGTGTGGTTTTAACGACAGGTCTAGTATGGTTTTAACGACAGGTCTAGTGTGGTTTTAACGACAGGTCTAGTATGGTTTTAACGACAGGTCTAGTATGGTTTTAACGACAGGTCTAGCATGGTTTTAACGACAGGTCTAGTGTGGTTTTAACCACCAGGTCTAGCATGGTTTTAACCGCCCGGTCTAGTGTTTGGTTTTTTAACACCCGTCTAGTGTGGTTTTAACGACAGGTCTAGTGGGTTTTACACCAGGTCTAGATGGTTTTAACGACAGGTCTAGTGTTTTAACAAGGTCTATGTTTTAACCATCAGGGAACAGGTCTAGTGTGGTTTTAACGACAGGTCTAGTGTGGTTTTAACGACAGGTCTGTGTGGTTTTTAAACCACCCGGTCCCAGTGGGTTTTAACCACCAGGTCTAGCATGGTTTTAACGACAGGTCTAGTGTGGTTTTAACGACAGGTCTAGTGTGGTTTTAACGACAGGTCTAGTGTGGTTTTAACCACCAGGTCTAGCATGGTTTTAACGACAGGTCTAGTGTGGTTTTAACGACAGGTCTAGTGTGGTTTTAATGACAGGTCTAGTATGGTTTTAACGACAGGTTTAGTGTGGTTTTAACCACCAGGTCTAGCATGGTTTTAACGACAGGTCTAGTGTGGTTTTAACCACCAGGTCTAGCATGGTTTTAACGACAGGTCTAGTGTGGTTTTAACGACAGGTCTAGTATGGTTTTAACGACAGGTCTAGTGTGGTTTTAACCACCAGGTCTAGCATGGTTTTAACGACAGGTCTAGTGTGGTTTCAACGACTAGTCACTGCTCAGTCATTCCAATTAACGCACATTTCTTGCAGGTGTTCTCACGTTACCTGCAGCTCCAGGATGGTACTGACGAGCAGGTGTTGTTGTTTCTTGCAGGTGTTGGCTACGGAGCGGCGGTCATGTCAGTCTGGCTTAACATCTACTACATCATCGTCTTAGCCTGGGGTCTTTTCTACTTCTTCATGTCTCTCACCTCCCGTAAGTCATGTTAAGTCATGTTCTCATCCTCTATTGCAGTCTGGTTGCTGCTGCTGCTGCTGCAGCAGCAGCAGCAGCAGAGAGATGTGCGTCTTCAGAGTTTAGGTTAATCCATGTTCGAAAGGTTAAGTCTAATCGGTTTTAAACCCAACTAACAAACTAAGTAACAAACTAGCAAACTATCAAACAAACTAACAAATTAACTAACAAGGTAACACGCTAACAAACTAACAAGCTAACAAGCTAACACAAAGTGTTTACCAGATGCCTCCCTTCTAGACGACAAAGAGGAGAAGAGACGAGAGAGAGAGAGAGGAGAGAGAGAGAGAAGAGAGAGAGAGAGAGAGAGAGAGAGAGAGAGAGACTCCTGTTTCCTGTTACCTTCCATACGACAGGAGGGAGGGGGAGAGAGAGAGATTCCTGTCTCCTGTTATTTTTTCAGACTACAGGAGGGAGAGAGAGAGAGAGAGAGAGAGAGAGAGAGAGAGAGAGAGAGAGAGAGAGAGAGAGAGAGAGAGAGAGAGAGAGAGAGAGAGAGAGAGAGAGAGAGAGAGAGATTCCTGTCTCCTGTTACCTTCCAGACGACTTGGATTTCCTCTACCTCGTTACCTAATGCCACTAACAACCTCTGTGGCATTTACTCTCACACTCTGAGAGACTGTTTATAATGTTTGTTTTGGCCCCATACGGTTTTAGGGCTTCCCAACAATGATAATAATATAATTCCTCCAAACACTATTTCTTCTTAATTAATTACAGGGCCAAACTGAAGCATATGTCTCGCAGGTATCTTTTTCTCGGTGGTAAGCAGATTGCTCTCAAAGTGTAACACTTTGTTGTGGGGGTGAAAACGTGCGAAAACCAGCGTTAAGAACAAGACTTTAGTGTTGACAGTTTTGTTTATGGCTGTCTTTATCAAGTCAGCGGCTACAAGATTCATCTGAGACGTGTTTTCAGTCAACAGATGACTAGTTGTGTGGTGCCGCTGGTCTTGCTACATCACAATGTACAGAGGGGAAAAGCGGTTTGTTTACCGCGCACCCATATACATCCTGGGGATGACAGTGGCTGGTTTACTGTGTACCCACTGTGGGAAATATAATACAACCAAAATATAAACCAGGAACCTATGGAAACCCACAGTAATTCCTACATCCAAATCCATCCTGAGGATAGTAGTGGCTGGTTTATTGTACATTCATACTAATCCTGAGGATGGAAAATGAGACACTTGTTCAGCATTTGGGAATCTTTATTGAGGCAAACATTTTGCCAGCCAGAGGATTCTTCAGTCCAATACAGAGAAGAACGGTGGAAGATGAGGAGTTTGAGGTAATCAGTCCCTCAGTCTAGATCCCATGTGCTCAGTTCATAAATCTTGAGAAAAGTTCAGCATATGATGGGAGCAGTGATTTATTCTTCAACTCGTCGGTTTTCCAAATCATTAACATCAAATCCTGAGGATGGCAGCGCACGAGTTAAGGTGATACACAGAGGCGTGGGAACTAGGCCACAAAAACAACTCATAGGAGTACCCGTTAGCTATGGATTATTTAGAATGTGTTTCATTTTTTCTGCTACAAGCAAATTTAGGATATAGTTGCTCAAAATTTCCTGCATTCTATTTTTCCCTAATTATGTTCATTTAGATATCATACAGGTTAGTGTACTGTCTATCTCTATATTCCTCAATAAATGGACAATCAAGTACATGGTGTTCAAGAAAGTTATCATTGTCTGAGTATATAGGAGACAGGCGGAAACACTTGTAACCGAGCCCATGCCTGGCTGCCACACCATCCGTCAAGTCTGTTTACACTAAGTTCCTTTATAAATGCTCAGCAATGGTAGCAAGCAGCACCGAAATACAAGGTTATGGTTGCCGTTACAGCAGTAGAGGAGCAACGGGAGGATTATGTCTGGAATGCCATTAGTCAGGTATTGTTGTATTACTATCACTGGTTTGGTTCCGCCCAGTAATGTTTCTGGAAGAAGAGAAACACTGCTACTTAGTTCTCTCCTGTGGTGTTCAGACACTTCATTTCCGCAAACTCTTAAGAGTTTCCTGCAGTGTCTGCTTCCTTCTTTAATGACCAACTTAGTATATTCCAATTCACGACAGGGAAGTCTTTATTGCACTGAATTCAGCATTAGTTATAAATGGTATGTATATATACTAGTCATACTGTATCTGTGTTCGTGAATCGTTGTGTTAGAGTGATATGACATTAGCTCTCAATAGTCTGTTGCACCTATACAGGGAATAGTGTAGAGGTTCAGGTGGGTATCCCTGTCACTGTGAGTAGATGTTTCAGTGTTTACACTAATAGCTTTAAAACCCTGGAAAAACATTCAGTTATATTTAGCGTAACTGTGTGGATGATAGTGCTTGTGGTGTTACCTGTCGGAAGGATGATCCTTCTATCTGTTTCACTTGTGGGGATTATTACAGTTTGTTGTAGGTGAAGCATCTGAGGGGGATTAGCAAGAGGAGTCAAGAGCATGGATGTGCTTGTTACTCACACAACACAAGCAATTCAAGAGCATGGATGTCCTTGTTACTCACACAACACAAACGATACCATTAGACTTCCTGGTCATAACTTGGTATAACGCCATGTTTGTTCATAAAGAGGAAAAACAAGAGAGAAATGCTGAATCAATCACAAGAGATGCGAGACTTACAGAATACAAGTAATGACTAACTGCACCTCTTGCGACGCTGCTACTGCCTGCAGACGAACCAGCGACTGTAATGCGAGGAGCACACGTATCAACACCCGTTACTTAACACCTACACCACGTACGGTATATCCTGCGACTCTGGGAGACAGGGAGCCGACTCACAAAGCAAAGACGTTATTGTTAAAAACAACGTTTCTGTGAAGGGTTTTGTCAATTCATGATTTGATAGAGCTTTCCTTGAGCAAAACGTTGTCTTGATCAGGCTTATTCAGCTCTAGTTGTCTTGGAAACTACCTGTTCCACATCCTCTTTCCTGCTGTGGCAAGATACGGCAGCTAGTGAGTGTGTTAGTGCCGCTAACACTGACTTAATGAAGCGCATGCTGGTTCCTAGTGCTGACTTCTCAGTAGTATAATTCGTAAACCTCACCAGCAACCAGTTTTGATGGATAACTGAGCTCGTGTGTGTGTGTGTGTGTGTGTGTGTGTGTGTGTGTGTGTGTGTTACATTTCTATAAGCATTTTTCAGCATTTTTAATTAATTTTGAATATATAAGATGCTTTTAGATTCTTGTTTAGATTATTAACTGTCACTGAATGTTAATGTTCCAGCTTTCACTGTGACCTCTCATTAACACTGTGACCTCTCATTAACACTGTGACCTCTCATTAACACTGTGACCTCATAATACTGTGATCTGTGTTATAACACTGTGATCTCTCATTAACACTGTGACCTCTCATTAACACTGTGACCTCATAATACTGTGATCTGTCATTATAACACTGTGATCTCTCATTAACACTGTGACCTCTCATTATAATACTGTGACCCCTGATAACACTGTAACCTAGCATTATAATACTGTGACCTTTCATTATAATACTGTGACCCCTGATAACACTGTAACCTAGCATTATAATACTGTGACCTCTGATAAAACTGTGACCTATCATTATAATACTGTGACCTCTCATTAACACTGTGACTTCTCATAACACTGTGACATCTCATTAATACTGTGACCTCTCATTAATACTGTGACCTCTCATGACACTGTGGCCTTTCATAACACTGTGACCTCTCATAATACTGTGATTTGTCATAACACTGTGACCTCTCATAACACTATGACCCATCATAACATTGTGACCTCTCATTACACTGACATCAGATAACACTGTGACCTCTTATTAACACTGTGACCTATCATTATAACACTGTGACCTATCGTTATAACACTGTGACCTTTTATAATACTGTGATCTATCATTATAACACTGTGACCTCTCTTTATAACACTGTGACCCCTCATTAACACTGTGACTTACCATTATAATACTGTGACCTCTCATAGCACTGTGACCTATCATTATAACACTGACCTTTCATAACAGTGTGATCTACATAATAACACTGTGACCTATCATTATAACACCGTGACCTCTCATAACACTATGATCTCTCGTAACACTGTGACCTCACATTATAACATTGCGACCTCTCATTATAGCACTATGACCTCTCATTGTTATGATCTTTCATAACACTGACCTCTCATAACACTGTGACCTCACATTATAACACTGTGACCTATCCTTATAGCACTATGACCTCTCAATATAACACTGCCTTCTCATTATAGCACTGTGACCTCTCATTATAACACTGTGACCTCTCATTATAGCACTGTGATCTCTTATTATAGCACTGTGACTTCTCATTTAGCAGTGTGACTCTATTACAACACGTGACTTCTCATATAATGTGACTTCATAACAGTGTGACCTCTCATAACAGTGTGACCTCTCATAACAGTGTGACCTCTCATAACAGTGTGACCTCTCATTATATCACTTCTTGATCTAGCTATGTTTCTCCCTAGTGAGTGAATGTGTACGTTCGTGTCAGTATGGTATAATGTGTTACTTCTGCTGCTGCTGGTGCTGCTGCTGCTGCTGCTGCTGCTGCTGCTGCTGCTGCTGCTGCTGCTGCTGCTGCTGCTGCTGCTACTACTACTACTGCTGCTTCTGCTGCTGCTTATGCTTATACTTTTGCTGCTGCTGCTTGCTGCTGCTGCTGCTGCTGCTGCTGCTGCTGCTGGTGTTGCTGCTGCTTCTGCTGCTGCTGTACTAACTACTACTACTACTATACTGCTTCTGCTGCTGCTTATGCTTATACTTTTGCTGCTGCTGTTGCTGTTGCTGTTGCTGCTGTTCCTGCTGCTGTTATTGCTGCTGCTTCTGCTTCTGCTATGTGCTAAAGCAAACTTTCTTTTTTTTCCTCTCACTCCATCACTTGTGACTTTTTCCAAGTCTACACTGGAAGTAAGTATCTTTCTTGTTCTTCTTTCCTGCCTCCTTAATTAAAACATCACATGAGGCTGAGTCATAACTCATGGCAGCTAGTTGTGTAAGACACAAGTCATGGCAGCTAGTTGTGTAAGACACAAGTCATGGCAGCTAGTTGTGTAAGACACAAGTCATGGCAGCTAGTTGTGTAAGACACAAGTCATGGCAGCTAGTTGTGTAAGACACAAATCATGGTAGCTAGTTGTGTAAGACACAAGTCATGGCAGCTAGTTGTGTAAGACACAAGTCATGGCAGCTAGTTGTGTAAGACACAAATCATGGTAGCTAGTTGTGTAAGACACAAGTCATGGCAGCTAGTTGTGTAAGACACAAGTCATGGCAGTAGTTGTGTAAGACACAAATCATGGTAGCTAGTTTGTAAGACACAAGTCATGGCAGCTAGTTGTATAAGACACAATCATGGCAGCTGTTGTGTAAGACACAAATCATGGTAGCTAGTTGTGTAAGACACAAGTCATGGCAGCTAGTTGTATAAGACACAAGTCATGGCAGCTAGTTGTGTAAGACACAAGCCATGGCAGCTAGTTCTGTAAGACACAAGCCATGGCAGCTAGTTGTATAAGACACAAATCATGGCAGCTAGTTGTGTAAGACACAAGTCATGGCAGCTAGTTGTGTAAGACACAAATCATGGTAGCTAGTTGTGTAAGACACAAGTCATGGCAGCTAGTTCTGTAAGACACAAGCCATGGCAGCTAGTTGTATAAGACACAAGTCATGGCAGCTGGTTGTGTAAGACACAAATCATGGCAGCTAGTTCTGTAAGACACAAGTCATGGCAGCTAGTTCTGTAAGACACAAGTCGTGGCAGCTAGTTCTGTAAGACACAAGTCATGGCAGCTAGTTGTGTAAGACACAAGTCATGGCAGCTAGTTCTGTATGATACAAGTTATGGCAGCTAGTTCTGTAAGACACAAGTCATGGCAGCTAGTTCTGTAAGACACAAGTCATGGCAGCTAGTTGTGTAAGATACAAGTCATGGCAGCTAGTTGTGTAAGAGACGAGTCATGCCGGCTAGTTCTGTAAGATACAAGTCATGGCAGTTAGTTCAGTAAGACATGAGCCATGGCAGCTAGTTCTGTAAGATACAAGTCATGGCAGCTAGTTCTGTAAGATACAAGTCATGGCAGCTAGTTCTGTAAGACACGAGTCATGGCAGCTAGTTCAGTAAGACACAAGTCATGGCAGCTAGTTCAGTAAGACACAAGTCATGGCAGCTAGTTCAGTAAGACACAAGTCATGGCAGCTAGTTCAGTAAGACACAAGTCATGGCAGCTAGTTCAGTAAGACATGAGCCATGGCAGCTAGTTCTGTAAGACACAAATCATGGCAGTTCTGTAAGACTCATAACACATTACCTCATCCTTCACTGCCGTCGTATATCTCTGCATCTAATCAAATAATAATAAAAAAAATACTGCAAATGGACAATTCGTGATATGCAAATAAAATCTCACAAACATCAATACCAAAATGGCGTCATCAGAGTTGGAGTGTCCTCAGGTGTCCGAAGAAACATGTAAGCCAAAAAAGACTCGCATCCTTCTGTTTTTTTTTTTTTTAAGTTTCCCATAAATATGGGAGTGTACTGAGACTTCGACAGGTGGGATTACCACCTGTCGAAGCCTCTGCACGACAGCAGCCAGGTGCGTCCCACGGTGGGACGCACCTGGCTGCTGTCTTGTGCATCTATAAGTCCTGTCTGTCTATCAGCGAGCACGCAGAATTTACCTTCCGGGTCATCACCGTTCTAACGCCCCTTACTTTATCTTCCCTCCTCGCCGACGGCCCCACCTTTGACACAGACTCCCTCTTTGACGTTCTGATAGCAACAGATTTGTTACACTAACTTTGATAATTATACTTTAGCACTGCTCATCGACTTTACTAACTCTACCTGTGTTATACTCTCCACCCTCACTAGTCTCTGATCAAGTATATTAAAGCTCTAGCACGTCCTACCCTTGTGGTCTTAGCGCTTAGTTATGATTATAATAATATTAATGTAAGTGGTGTCGTGTAGCTGCTGATACAGAGGAATCTATGTCTCTATGTCGTGGTAACTGCATTACAGCTTAACACCTGTCATCCTGTTGTTCAGTCACGGCCACTGACTCGTCCGTGGGGAATGGGCACGGACCGTCCACTACAGCAGTAACAGTCTGGTTGATCAGACCCTGATCCGCCACGAGGCCTGGTCTCAGACTGCGCCGTGGGGACGTTGACCCTGGAAACCCTCACCAGGTATACTCCAGGTATACAATCCACGTCAGCAGTTGACGTTCTTACGGTCTGGTGATGCTACAGTAAAGGGTGCGCGCGACGTGTGTGCGCGACGTCGCCGCGCACACACGTCGCCGCACACACACGTCGCCGCGCACACACGTCGCCGAGCACATACGTCGCCGCGCACACACGTCGCCGCGCACACACATCGCCGCGCACACACGTCGCCGCGCACACACGTCGCGCTCTTTACCTGTCCGCCCTCTTACGGGAACCTTATTTACACATTTTCAAAAGTATATTTCGAATTTACCCGCATTTGCAGTAATATTCCGAAAAAATTGAGAAAGTTGCCATGATTTATGTCACGGAGCCGCGTACTAAATCTTACCTCAGACATTACTATCCAAACACACACACACACACACACACACACACACACACACACACACACACACAAATATATTTACCATTTTTTTAAGTGAAGAAAAATCATGGGGATGGGTAGGATGGGTTGTGGGATAGACAGGAAAATAGGTGGGATAGATCAGCCAGAGGGGTGAAGAGATAGGTGTTAAGTAGGTGTCTTGTGTCACCTACTGAGCGGTAGATACATACCTAGTAGTTACGTTCACTCATCACAAAGGCGAAGAGCTCTTGATCCAGGGAACCCGAGCCACCCCTGCAACTTTCTTGGATCAAACCTGGTTGCATCGCCCTTATCTTTTTTCCCCAAGGCCCTGGGTAATACCTACGGGTTTAGCGCTTCCTCACAACTTTATCAGTAGTAATTATAAAAATGATAATAATAAATAATATTAATAATAAAATACTACTACTACTGCTAATAATAATAATAATAATAATAATAATAATAATAATAATAATAATAATAATAATAATAATAATTAATAATAATAATAATAATAATTATATAATAAATATAATAATAATAATAATTCCCCTCCAGGTCCTATCATCACCCTCCAAGTCCTAGTCATTGCTCTACCTTCCCCTCTAGATCCACTCATTTTCCCCTCTTGACCCGCCCTTCCCTCTCTACCGACACCCTGGAATCACTACTAATCTCAACCCTCTTCTCACCCTCCGTCGCCGCCCCTGGCGCCAGAGTTGCCGTGGGGGTCGTGTGACAACTGGTGGAACACTGCCACCTGTGTGTCGCCCTACGCCCGTAGTGACCTGGAGTGCTGGGAGGAGTCCTTCAACACCACGGCCAACCAGTCGTTCTGCAGGGTGGGCAACCTCTCCCGGGTCCACGTCCTTAATATCACCGACCCTGTCAAGGAGTTCTGGGAGTAAGTCATGAATGTCGTTCATCCTCTAAAGTGAGTCTTGAATGTCGTTCATCCTCTAAGAGTGAGTCTTAAATGTCGCTCATCCTCTAAGAGTGAATCTTGAATGTCGTTCATCCTCTAAAGCAGTGGTTCCCAAACTGGGGGGTAATGGAGAGGTGACAGAAAAAAAGTTGTGAATTCTGAAAATCAAGAAAACAATGCGGTACCCGGTATGAGGATTATTGTTAACTTTGTCTTAGTATATAAAGTTGTAAAGTAAACCTATTATAAGTAAGTAATAAAGTTAAACCAAATAACAATAAACATCAAAAACTAATATACAGTATTAGAAAAGAAGAAATATATAGCTAAGTGTGTGGAAACCCAAAAGTATTTTAACAAGTATGCTTCAGGACAAAAGTCACTCAGTAGCCCAGATCGACCTGTCCAGTACGTGTCACTCACTTCCTGAGGCTGCCTCTATTTCACACTGTCAGTTTATCTGTGAGCATCAGCCGAGGTAGACATAAGCTGGTATGTATGTGTACTGCCCTGTGCAGTATATAGTTAGTATTTACCCACTGTTACTGTGAATTTGTAGCTATTATTAATTTTATATATAATGTATGTGTGGTTCTTACGTTTTCAATGGTTTTGCTAGGATTAGCAGAGTATGCGAGGCTGTATACGTTCACGTTTAGCCATATATATCAATAATAACAACATTTTGTGAAAGGGGTAACATGCTTTATGTGGCATGTTAAATTGGGTAACAAGCTGAAAAAGTTTGGGAACCACTGCGAGTCTAAAGTGAGTCTTGAATGTAGTTCATCCTCTAAGAGTGAATCTTGAATGTCGTTCATCCTCTAAGAGTGAGTCTCAACATCAGTTCTCAACATGTATGTAACATCACAAACTTACGAGAAATGTTCCACAGTATTTTCTCCTTCATGAGGCTTTTCAAGCCTTTTTTTTTTTTAGGGAGGTGCAGAATTTTTCCTCACCGAAACTGAGATACGTTCCTGTACCTTCATTAATATTGACTTTGTGTGTGTATGTGTTTCTCACGTTATCCTAGTTATGCAAGAATCGCTAACAAGCGATATAATAAATAAAACAACCACAGAGGGAGTTGAATAATAGCTCTAGGTCTTTCGTGCTGCAATCAACACATCATCAGGAGCTTTCAAAGCTGCAGAAGTGAGGAAAAGATCTCAGCAGATTCGTTACGAGGAACGCTTGTTAAGCAAGCGTCCCTCGGAACGAATCTGCTGAGATATCTTCCTCATTTCTGCAACTTTGCAAGCTCCTGACGATGTGTTGATTTCAGCACGAAAGGCCTAGAGCTATTATTCATTTCCCTCTGTGGTTGTTTTGCACTATCCTAGTTATAAGGCTCATTCAAGTGTATCACTACTCTCTTAGTGGCTTGATGATGGTCCAGGAAGGACCGAAAAGTCTTGTCTTACATTTCCAGTTTGTGGGTCAGTTGTGATTTGAAACTATGTATTTATTTTAAACAGTACAGCATCACCGTAGTCACTCTCTACACTCGGCAGTCAGTCTCTGTACTAACAACATTCATGACTCCTAGAGGAACCAACAGGTTATTTTCATTCACAATATTCCTCCTTCCCTCGTGTACACAGTAAATAATCAAAACTCCCCTTCATATAAGATTGAATTTTCACTCGTAATTAAGTGCTAAGATCATGAGAGTAAACTGGGTTAACTAGCAGGAGGGACGGAGGTAATGGTAAATCAATTGCATGTGTGTTTTGCATGCGTGTAGAGGATGGAGTTGCAAGTGTTGCCTTTGCTCCCACAGAAAACGGGCGCTTCAGATTTCGGAAGGCATTGATCACCCTGGCACCGTACGCTGGGACCTGGCACTCACTCTCCTCGTAGCCTGGATCCTTTGCTACTTCTGCATCTGGAAGGGAGTCAAATGGACTGGAAAGGTGAGTCGACCTGCAGCGAAGTTCCTCGTAGAGTTCGTGTGTGGTGTGTGTGCGTGTGTGTGTGTGTGTGTGTGTGTGTGTGTGAGCTACCAGTAACACACTAGTTCAGGGGTACCTACCTCCAAGTCTCCTATACACCCAACGTATGGTATAAGTCAGTCACGTTCAATGACCCTTGATTTTCGAAGTGTCTCTCTTTCTCTCTCAGAACTCTGGTGCATTAGAAATAACAGGAATATATAATTGTGATCAGGATTTAACGAGTTTTTTTTTCTCTCGTGAGCAGAGTGTCTGGTTATATTGATTTCGAGTGCAATAAAAAGGGGAAAAAAAATAGTTATTCATGGGCGAGCATATGGTGGTGATTAACCAGTGTGTCTGGTCCTGAGATGGTGTGTTGATGCTAGATGTATTGATTAAGACCTTTGGCACCAAAAGAGGAGTGGCACATCAATCAAGCCAGGTTTTTTCTCGGGTGGGGGGGGGTTGACATGATTGATGGTTACCTCACTTGACGCTCACACGCTTCACAAGTTACCAGTCAATCTGCAGAAATTGCCATACACGCTAAACACGTTGCCATGCAGGTTGAACACGCTGCCACACACGCTACGCAGGTTGTCATACACGCTACACAAGCTGCGACACACGCCAAACACGCTGCCATACACGCTACGCAGGTTGCCATACACGCTTCTCATAGTATAAGCCAAATTTCATGGCAAAATTATATCGCAATAGATAAGCTCAACTGACTATAATTCGTCAGAGAGAGAGAGAGAGAGAGAGAGAGAGAGAGAGAGAGAGAGAGAGAGAGAGAGAGAGAAGAGAGAGAAAGAAAGAGAACGAGAGGTCTAGGCAGTGTGTTTAGTGTGCAACACTGACAGCAACACTGTACTACTACCTTGCGTAGTAACTCCCTTCATTGACTCGCAGCACTGGGCGGGGGGATGTTCTGACACAGTGGGTGTCACTTCCCACTGCTCTGCCACCCACTTGAACACCACTCAGAGGCTTATATTCATTATATGTGTGCTTAAGAGGTTTATGTATATTTATACAAATAACGGTCTTGTGCTTTTTGTTATTTATGTTTATTATTTTTTACTCAACAACGCTTCGTTAGATTGCATTCCCGTGTTCCTCTGACAAGGCTTCACGTTACTCAACACATTCCAGTGTTCCCACGCTTCATACAAGGCTGCACGTTACTCAACACATTCCAGTGTTCCCACGCTGCATACAAGGCTTCACGTTACTCAACACATTCCAGTGTTCCCACGCTTCATACAAGGCTGCACGTTACTCAACACATTCCAGTGTTCCCACGCTTCATACAAGCTGCACGTCCTCAGCACGTTTTACTCAACACATTCCAGTGTTCCCACGCTTCATACAAGGCTGCACGTTAACTCAAACACATTCCAGTGTTCCCACGCTGCATACAAGGCTTCACGTTACTCAACACATTCCAGTGTTCCCACGCTTCATACAAGGCTGCACGTTACTCAACACATTCCAGTGTTCCCACGCTTCATACAAGGCTGCACGTTACTCAACACATTCCAGTGTTCCCACACTGCATACAAGGCTTCACGTTACTCAACATCATTCCAGTGTTCCCACGCTGCATACAAGGCTCACGTTACTCAACACATTCCAGTGTTCCCACGCTTCATACAGGCTTCACGTTACTAACACATTCCAGTGTTCCCACGCTTCATACAAGGCTGCACGTTACTCAACACATTCCAGTGTTTCCACGCTTCATACAAGGCTTCACGTTACTCAACACATTCCAGTGTTCCCACGCTTCATACAAGGCTTCACGTTACTCAACACATTCCAGTGTTCCCACGCTTCATACAAGGCTTCACGTTACTCAACACATTCCAGTGTTCCCACGCTTCATACAAGGCTGCACGTTACTCAACACATTCCAGTGTTCCACGCTTCATACAAGGCTGCACGTTACTCAACACATTCCAGTGTTCCCACGCTTCATACAAGGCTGCACGTTACTCAACACATTCCAGTGTTCCCACGCTTCATACAAGGCCTCACGTTTACTCAACACATTCCAGTGTTCCCACGCTGCATACAAGGCTTCACGTTACTCAACACATTCCAGTGTTCCCACGCTTCATACAAGGCTGCACGTTACTCAACACATTCCAGTGTTCCCACGCTTCATACAAGGCTGCACGTTACTCAACACATTCCAGTGTTTCCACGCTTCATACAAGGCTGCACGTACTCAACACATTCCAGTGTTCCCACGCTTCATACAAGGCTGCACGTTACTCAACACATTCCAGTGTTTCCACGCTTCATACAAGGCTGCACGTTACTCAACACATTCCAGTGTTCCCACGCTTCATACAAGGCTGCACGTTACTCAACACATTCCCAGTGTTTCCCACGCTTCATACAAGGCTGCACGTTACTCAACACATTCCAGTGTTCCCACGCTTCATACAAGGCTGCACGTTACTCAACACATTCCAGTGTTCCCACGCTGCATACAAGGCTTCACGTTACTCAACACATTCCAGTGTTCCCACGCTTCATACAAGGCTGCACGTTACTCAACACATTCCAGTGTTCCCACGCTTCATACAAGGCTGCACGTTACTCAACACATTCCAGTGTTCCCACGCTTCATACAAGGCTTCACGTTACTCAACACATTCCAGTGTTTCCACGCTTCATACAAGGCTGCACGTTATCAACACATTCCAGTGTTTCCACGCTTCATACAAGGCTTGCACGTTACTCAACACATTCCAGTGTTTCCACGCTTCATACAAGGCTTCACGTTACTCAACACATTCCAGTGTTTCACGCTTCATACAAGGCTGCACGTTATCAACACATTCAGTGTTTCCACGCTTCATACAAGCTGCACGTTACTCAACACATTCCAGTGTTTTCCACGCTTCATACAAGGCTTCACGTTACTCAACACATTCCAGTGTTTCCACGCTTCATACAAGGCTGCACGTTACTCAACACATTCCAGTGTTTCCACGCTTCATACAAGGCTGCACGTTACTCAACACATTCCAGTGTTTCCACGCTTCATACAAGGCTTGCACGTACTCAACACATTCCAGTGTTTCCCACGCTTATACAAGGCTGCACGTTACTCAACACATTCCAGTGTTTCCACGCTTCATACAAGGCTGCACGTTACTCAACACATTCCAGTGTTTCCACGCTTCATACAAGGCTTCACGTTACTCAACACATTCAGTGTTTCCACGCTTCATACAGGCTTCACGTTACTCAACACATTCCAGTGTTTCCACGCTTCATACAAGGCTTCACGTTACTCAACACATTCCAGTGTTTCCACGCTTCATACAAGGCTTCACGTTACTCAACACATTCCAGTGTTTCCACGCTTCATACAAGGCTTCACGTTACTCAACACATTCCAGTGTTCCCACGCTTCATACAAGGCTGCACGTTACTTAACACATTCCAGTGTTCCCACGCTTCATACAAGGCTTCACGTTACTCAACACATTCCAGTGTTTCCACGCTTCATACAAGGCTTCACGTTACTCAACACATTCCGGTGTTCATCTGTCTTCACTCATGGCTTCACGTTATTCAACACTGGTTTCTGAAGCTTGTGTTTCTTATGAATGTAAGGAATGGAAATGGTGAGGTATAGATAGTTTGTACTGGTGAAGTGTGCTGTGTGTACTGGTAGTGTGTACTGAGAGTGTGTACTGGTAATATGTACTGAGAATTGATACTGTTCGTATGTAGTGGTGGTGTGTAATAGTGATGTGTACCGGTAATGTGTACTGTTAACATGTAGTGGTGTGTACTGGTAGTGTGTAGTGTTCGTATGTACTGGTGATGTGCACTGGTCGTGTGTACTGTTTGTATGTAGTGGTGTGTACTGGTAGCGTATACTGTTCGTATGTAGTGGTGGTGTGTACTAGTAGTGTACTGGTAGTGTTTACCGTTCGTATGTAGTGGTGATGTGTACTGGTAGTGTGTACTGATGGTGCATACTGGTAGTGTGTACTGGTGGTGTGTAATGTTCGTATGTAGTGGTGGTGTGTACTGGTAGTGTGTACTGTTCGATTGCTCCCATGTACACCGGTGCACGGGATATGCTGAACACCGTGTTCTCCAACAGGTTGTGTACTTCACAGCACTCTTCCCGTACCTGCTGATGTTTATCCTGTTCATCCGAGGCGTGACTCTTCCCGGCGCCATGACTGGAATTCGCTACTACCTCATCCCCGATATCGACAAACTGAAGGATATCACGGTAAGTACTCAGTAACGTACTCAGGAACGTAACAACAAGCAACATGGGGCCTATTGGCCCACGCTAGGCAAGCCTAACTCATTCATGTTTCCGGCCCCTATGCAGGGTTACAACGGAACAGATAAAAAAAATGACACGGACGTAAGAGGAAAAAAATGACTCACACTGATTTGGTCAACAGGTGTGGGTGGAGGCAGTGTCGCAGGTGTTCTGGTCCTATGCACTTGTCCTGGGCTCCCTCATCGCTCTGGGTTCCTACAACAAATTTGATAATAACTGCTACCGGTGAGTGGAACCCAAACACCTACAGTGTCCACGATAGTAAATTCAAATTCAAAAAACTATTTCTTTGCAGTAAAATATAGTAAAGCACAAAGGAAGCTACTAGCATGCAAGAGCGTAACACTCACAGTGTCCACGATATTGAGTGAAAATACCCGAAGCGCCCACGATGCTAATTCTAAACACTCTTACTGTCCACAACACTAAATCCAAACACTCTTACTATCACAATAGAATAAGTAAACACTTACTGTCAACAACATAAACGCACAAACATCTATTACAGGGTTACTAGGAAATTAAAATAAAAATTAGGGTTAGGAAAAAAAGAGTGGGGATAACTATTGGCCCAAAAATTAAAAATTAAAAACCACTACAAAGTGACATAGTGCCTGATAAGTGGAAAATGGCAAAGGCAATATTTAATTACAAGGCAGGTGACAGGTCCTTGGCTTCGAACTATAGACCAATAAGCCTTACCTCCATAGTGGGAAAATTTATGGAATCAATAATTGCCGAAGCAATTCGTAGCCATCTTGATAGGCACAGATTGATTAATGAATCTCAGCACGGTTTTACAAAGGGGCGTTCCTGTCTTACGAATTTACTAACTTTTTTCATTAAGATGTTTGAGGAGGTAGATCATGGTAATGAATATGATATTGTGTATATGGACTTCAGTAAGGCTTTCGATAGACTTCCACACCAGAGGCTACTGAGGAAACTTAAGGCACACGGAATAGGAGAAATTTTTTCCTGGGCAGAGGCATGGTTGACAAATAGGCAGCAGAGAGTTTGCATAAATGGGGAGAAATCAGAATGGGGGCACGTCACAACCGGTGTTCCTCAGGGGTCAGTGTTGGGCCCGTTGTTGTTCACAATTTACATAAACGACATAGATGAGGGAATAAATAGCGACATAAGCAAATTTGCTGATGACACCAAAATAGGCCGTCCAATTCATTCTAATGAGGACACTAGAGCACTCCAGGATGATTTGAATAGACTGTTGGAGTGGTCGGAGAAGTGGCAGATGCAGTTTATTAAAGATTGAGACACTTATGCAACATATGGTTTTTTAAACCATTCCTCACATGTAGTTTATTATAGACAAATGTAAAGTTCTAAATATTGGACAGGAAAATAACCATGCCACATATAAACTAAATAATGTAGATCTTAATATTACTGATTGCGAAAAGGATTTGGGAGTTCTGGTTAGCAGTAATCTAAAACCAAGACAACAGTGCATAAGTGTTCGCAATAAAGCTAACAGAATTCTTGGCTTCATATCAAGAAGTATAAATAATAGAAGTCATCAGGTTGTTCTTCAACTCTGTACATCCTTGGTTAGGCCTCATTTAGATTATGCTGCACAGTTCTGGTCACCGCATTAGAGAATGGATATAAATGCACTGGAAAACGTACGGAGGAAGATGACAAAGATGATCCCGCGTACCAGAAATCTTCCTTGTGAAAACAGACTGAGGAGGGCCCTGAATCTGCACTCTCCGGAAAGGCGTAGAATTAGGGATGATATGATTGAGGTGTATAAATGGAAGACAGGAATAAATAAAGGGGATGTAAATAGCGTGCTAAAAATATCTAGCCAAGACAGGACTCCCAGCAATGGTTTTAAGTTAGAAAAATTCAGATACAAGAAGGATATAGGAAAGTACTGGTTTGGTAATAGAGTTGTGGATGAGTGGAACAAACTCTCGAGTACCGTCATAGAAGCTAAAACGTTGTGTAGTTTGAAAAATAGGTTAGATATAAATACATGAGTGGGTGTGGGTGGGTGTGAGTTGGACCTGACTAGCTTGCGCTACTAGGTCAGATGCCGTGCTCCTTCCTTAAGTGGATGTGACCTGGACCCGACTAGGTTGGGTCAGTGGCATAAGCCGGTAGGCGGCTTGGACCTGCCTCCCATGGGCCAGTCGGCCTGGTGTAGTGCTCCTTCTTTCTTATGTTCTTATGCACAACACTAGACACACTTTTACTATCCACACTACTGAATACACTCTTACTATCCACACTACTGAATACACTCTTATTATCCACAACACTGAATACACGCTCTTACTATTCACACTACTGAATCTAAACACTATTACTATCCACAACAATGAAGATAAACACTCTCAGTGCCAACAACTTTGAATCCAACACTACTACCACGGTAGCCAACTAAAAGAATAGCGTTTCGGAAGAAAAGCTTGTGGTAGACATTTCTCTCTGTGTAGAGCTTTGTCAAGTTATGTTTCGCTCTGTGTAGAGCTTTGTCAAGTTATGTTTCGCCCTGTGTAGAGCTTTATCAGGGCATGACAGAGCATAGTCAACAACTTGCATCTACGTAGACTTCAGAGTTTCCTTGAGTTAACCTTCTGTGTGTTGTATTAAGGGTAACTGCTTAAAAGTTATCCCTATTTTTTTTTGTCAGCTTTTGTGGAAGTTATATGTGAAATTTTCATTCATGTATTGTAAATAATAATAATAATAATAATAATAATAATAATAATAATAATAAAATAATAATAATAATATTATTATTATTATTATTATATTATTATTATTATATTATTATTATTATTATTATTATTATTATTATTATTATTATATTAAGAGCTAAACTCATAGGAATAAATACATCACCTGGTTGGTGAATATAATGAGGTTTGATCGGAGGAAGAGGAGGATAAATTCAGTTCCTCGAATCAAGAGCACTTGTTTAGGGGCCGCTCACACTGAGGCCTCTTCCAAAGTCAGACAGCTGACAGAAATGTTTTCATACACAATCACTCATGTCGGAGTGTGCTTGTCCCAATGTCATCATTAAGGAGGGCTCTTGATCCAAGTGATTGAATCAAGCTGATTAGCCTCCCTTTCTCATCCCCTTCTCAGGTGATGATTGTGAGCCCTCTAACGGTTTGCACTTGGAATCTTTTGTTTGTACATGGGCTCGTGCACCTGATTTCATGTCACGGCGCAGCGCGAACGTTCCGCTGCGTATAGCTCATAGATTCAAATTCAGAGGAAATATAGATGAGCTGATGTGTAGCCTATGTCTCTGTCACGGCTCTGCCTGTCTGTACTGCTGTGTTGCCTCATTGTGACGTGCACCTGTGTTGCGTCATTGTGATTTGCACCTGTGTTGCGTCATTGTGACGTGCACCTGTGTTGCGTCATTGTGACGCGCACCTGTTTTCCGTCATTGTGACGTGCACCTGTGTTCCCTCATTGTGACGTGCACATGTGTTGCGTCATTGTGACGTGCGCCTGTGTTGCGTCATTGTAACGTGTATGTGTGTTGCCTCATTGTGATGTGCATCTGTGTTGCCTCATTGTGACGTGCACCTGTGTTGCCTCATTGTGACGTGCACGTGTTGCGTCATTGTGACGTGCGCCTGTATTGCGTCATTGTAACGTGTATGTGCGTTGCCTCATTGTGACGTGCACCTGTGTTCCCTCATTGTGACGTGCACATGTGTTCCATCATTGTGACGTGCGCCTGTGTTGCGTCATTGTAACGTGTATGTGTGTTGCTTCATTGTGACGTACACTTGTGTTGCATCATTGTGACGTGCACCTGTTTTGCAGCGACTCTCTCATCCTGTGCACCATCAACTCGTGCACCTCCTTCTTCGCCGGCTTCGTCATCTTCTCGGTGGTAGGCTTCATGGCAGAGCAACAGCAGAAGGAAGTGGCAGACGTGGCCGCGTCAGGTGAGTCCTCACACACACACACACACACACACACACACACACACAGATTGGTCAGTCTTATTCATATATTGTACACGGTGTGTGAAGCAGATACAGTAGTAACGTTTACGTGTACACAACAGAGTACACAAATAACCTGCACATGGGAGGGAAAAGCTTATGTATTGTATATTGTTCCAGTATTGTGCCTTTTATTTTTTTGGTTCTTTACAAGAGAGAGAGAGAGAGTACAGGTCATGATGTACTCACAGGTCCCGGCCTGGCCTTCCTGGCTTATCCGTCAGCAGTACTGCAGCTGCCTGTGTCGCCGCTCTGGTCTGCACTCTTCTTCCTCATGTTTCTTATGCTGGGACTCGACTCTCAGGTAAGTTCACCTCACCTTCCGCTAAGCTCGCTTCATCTTCCACTAAGCTCGCCTCACCTTCCGCTAAGCTCGCCTCACCTTCCGCTAAGCTCGCCTCACCTTCCGCTAAGCTCGACTCACCTCCGCTAAGTTCCGGCCACCTTCACCCACCAATAACTACAGTACTTGTCACACATCTGTTTATCATCCAGGCTGAGTGACCGTGCGGGCTTTCTTATGTCCCGCATCGGCTTTCTTCAGGTAGATGGACTTACATATATATATAATGAACTCACATTGTTACACATTCCGGGTGAGTTTATCTTAGATGCTGTAGTATACTACCTCTAGTTACTTCTAAGGCTGCTTATATCAAGCGAATTACTTCAAATAACACGCCGAAACTCGCTAGTCTATCAGATAATAATTTTAGATATTTGTAGATTTTAAAACTGGATTCCGTTCATGAACTGTCTTCACAGACTCCCGTTCATGGACTGTCTTCACAGACTCCCGTTCATGGACTGTCTTCACAGACTCCCGTTCATGGACTGTCTTCACAGACTCCCGTTCATGGACTGTCTTCACAGGCTTACGTTCATGAACTGTCTTCACTGACTTACGTTTATGAATTGTCTTCACTGACTTACGTTCATGAACTGACTTATGTTCATGAACTGCCTTCACTGACTCCCGTTCATGGACTGTCTTCGCAGACTTACGTTCATGAACTGTCTTCACAGACATATAATGGTATTTTTTGTCAAGTCTTATATACAAATTCTTGGGTTTGTATTCCACTTGAAGGCAAATTTAATTGGATGTTTAAAGAATTGAATTATTTCTAAATGACAAATATGCAGTTAGCTGTTACCCTCTAATTTCCTTTTAAAATAGCTTTGGTATCACTGATTTTCATATAGAGTAGTGTAGCAACACTGCTGGTGTTCCCACCGTGTAACTATCACACAGCCTAGTCTAGCAGCACACTTCTGGTGCTCCCACTGTGTAACTATCATATAGCCAGTGTAGCAGTACACTGTTGGTGTTCCCACTTTGTAACAATCATACAGCCTAGTGTATCAGCACTCTGCTGATGTTCCCACTGTGTAACTATCACACAGCCTAGTGCAGCAACACACTGCTGGTGTTCCCACTGTGTAACTATCACGCAACCTAGTGTAGCAACACACTGCTGGTGTTCCCACTGTGTAACTATCACACAGCCTAGTGCAGCAACACACTGCTGGTGTTCCCACTGTGTAACTATCACACAACCTAGTGCAGCAACACACTGCTGATGTTCCCACTGTGTAACTATCACACAACCTAGTGCAGCAACACACTGTTGGTGTTCCCACTTTGTAACAATCATACAGCCTAGTGTATCAGCACTCCGCTGATGTTCCCACTGTGTAACTATCACACAACCTAGTGCAGCAACACACTGTTGGTGTTCCCACTTTGTAGCAATCATACAGCCTAGTGTATCAGCACTCCGCTGATGTTCCCACTGTGTAACTATCACACAGCCTAGTGCAGCAACACACTGCTGGTGTTCCCACTGTGTAACTATCACACAACCTAGTGTAGCAACACACTGCTGGTGTTCCCACTGTGTAACTATCACACAGCCTAGTGCAGCAACACACTGCTGGTGTTCCCACTGTGTAACTATCACACAACCTAGTGCAGCAACACACTGCTGATGTTCCCACTGTGTAACTATCACACAGCCTAGTGCAGCAACACACTGCTGGTGTTCCCACTGTGTAACTATCACACAACCTAGTGCAGCAACACACTGCTGATGTTCCCACTGTGTAACTATCACACACCTAGTGCAGCAACACACTGCTGGTGTTCCCACTGTGTAACTATCACACAGCCTAGTGCAGCAACACACTGCTGGTTGTCCACTAGTTAACATATCACACAGCCTAGTGCAGCAACACACTGCTGGTGTTCCCACTGTGTAACTATCACACAGCCTAGTGCAGCAACACACTGCTGGTGTGTCCACTATGTAACAATCACACAGCCTAGTGCAGCAACACACTGCTGGTGTTCCCACTGTGTAACTATCACACAGCCTAGTGCAGCAACACACTGCTGGTGCATCCACTATGTAACAATCACACAGCCTAGTGCAGCAACACACTGCTGGTGTTCCCACTGTGTAACTATCACACAGCCTAGTGCAGCAACACACTGCTGGTGTTCCCACTGTGTAACTATCACACAGCCTAGTGCAGCAACACACTGCTGGTGTTCCCACTGTGTAACTATCACACAGCCTAGTGCAGCAACACACTGCTGGTGTGTCCACTATGTAACAATCACGCAGCCTAGTGCAGCAACACACTGCTGGTGTTCCCACTGTGTAACTATCACACTGCCTAGTGCAGCAACACACTGCTGGTGTTCCCACTGTGTAATTATCACACAGCCTAGTGCAGCAACACACTGCTGGTGTGTCCACTATGTAACATATCACACAGCCTAGTGCAGCAACACACTGCTGGTGTTCCCACTGTGTAACTATCACACAGCCTAGTGCAGCAACACACTGCTGGTGTTCCCACTGTGTAACCACACAACCTAGTGCAGCAACACACTGCTGATGTTTCCACTGTGTAACTATCACACAACCTAGTGCAGCAACACACTGCTGGTGTTCCCACTGTGTAACTATCACACAGCCTAGTGCAGCAACACACTGCTGGTGTGTCCACTATGTAACAATCACACAGCCTAGTGCAGCAACACACTGCTGGTGTTCCCACTGTGTAACTATCACACAGCCTAGTGCAGCAACACACTGCTGGTGTTCCCACTTGTAACTATCACACAGCCTAGTGCAGCAACACACTGCTGGTGTTCCCACTGTGTAACTATCACACAGCCTAGTGCAGCAACACACTGCTGGTGTTCCCACTGTGTAGCTATCACACAGCCTAGTGCAGCAACACACTGCTGGTGTGTCCACTATGCAACAATCACACAGCCTAGTGCAGCAACACACTGCTGGTGTTCCCACTGTGTAACTATCACACAGCCTAGTGCAGCAACACACTGCTGGTGTTCCCACTGTGTAACTATCACACAGCCTAGTGCAGCAACACACTGCTGGTGTGTCCATTATGTAACAATCACACAGTCCTAGTTGCAGCAACACACTGCTGGTGTCCCACTGTGTAACTATACCATCCTAGTGCAGCAACAACTGCTGGTGTTCCCACTTTGTAACTACACACAGCTAGTGCAGCAACACACTGCTGTGTGTCCACTATGTAACACAATCACAACAGCCTAGTCAGCAACACACTGCTATGTTCCCACTGTGTAACTATCACACAGCCTAGTGCAGGGCAACACACTGCTGGTGTCCCACTGTAGTAACTATCACCAACCTAGTGTATGCAACACTACTTGCTGGAGTTCCCACTGTTTAACTATCACACAGCCATTTGCAGCAACACACTGTGTTCCCACTTGTACATCACACACCTAGTGCAGCAACACACTGCTGATTTTCCCTACATGTGTAACTATCACACACACAACCCTAGTGCAGCAACACACTGTTGGTGTTCCCACTTTGTAACAATCATACAGCCTATGATCAGCACTACCGCTGATGTTCCACACGTTAACTATCACACAACCTAGTGCAGCAACACACTTGGTTCCCACTTGTAACAAATCAAACAGCCAGTGTATCAGCACTCCGCTGAATGTTATCCACTGTGTTACTATCCACAGCTTATTTCAGCAACACACTCTGGATGTTCCCACTGTTAAACTATCAACGCAACTAGATGTACTGCAACACACTAGCTGGTAGTTCCACAATCTTGTAACTATCACGATAACCTAGCCTAGTGCAAGCAACACACTGCTGGTGTTCCCACTGTGTAACTATCACACACCTAGGCAGCAACACACTGCAGATGTTCCCATGTGTAACTACTATCAACAAACCATAGTGCCATAGCAACAAACCCTGCTGTGTATTCCCACTGTGTAACCACCAACCTATGCAGTCAACACCTGCTGAATGTTCCCACTGGTTAACTAATCACACATCAACCGTCAGCAACACACTGGTCTGGTGATCCCACTTGTGAACACACACACAGCCTAGTGCAGCAACACACACTGCTGGTGTGCCACATTAACAATCACACAGCCTCAGCAACACACAGCTGGTGTCCCACTGTGTAACATACACACAGCCTAGTGCAGAACACACTGCGTGTTCCACATGTAACATCACACAGCCAGTGCGCAACACACTGCTGGATTCCCACTGTGTACACATATCCACACACCAGTGGCAGCTACACACTGCTGTGTTCCACTGAGTAACAATCACACTCACCTAGTGCAGCAACACACTCTGGTGCATCCACTATGTAACAATCACACACACCATGCACGCACACACACACTGTTTACCCACGTGTAAACTAACACACAGCCTAGTGCACAACACCACAGCTGGTTTCCCACTGTGTAACTATACACACACCTAGTAGCAGCAACACACATGTGTCCACAAACAATCCACGCAGCCTAGTGCAGCAACACACCCTGCTGGTGTTCCCAACTGTGTAACTATCACACGCCAGTGCAGCAACACACTGCTGTTCCCACTGTTAATTATCACACATTATGTAGCAAACACTGCTAGGTGTGTCCACTATGAAACAATCACACAGCCATAGTGCAGCAAACACACTGCTAGTGTTCCACTGAGTAACTATCACACAGCCTAGTGCAGCACACACTGCTGGGTTTCCGTAACTGTGTAACCAACACAACCTATGCAGCAACACACGCTGAATGTTTCCACTGTGTCTATCACACAACTAGTGTCAGCAACACACGCCTGATGTTCCCACTGTGTAACTATCACACAGCCAGTGCACAACCACGCTGGTGTGTCCACTATGGTAACAATCACACAGCTAGTGCAGCAACACACTGCTGGGTTCCCACTGTGTAACTACTCACAC